TAAGAGTTTGTATATCACAGATGAATGAATGAAATTAAAGATAGAAAGGACAATAGATACACATGTAAACAATCGTCAGAAATTAAAATAGATTAGTACTTACTGGCTATTGTGTTGTAAATAAGAGTTTAAGTATTACAGATGAATGAATCAAATTAAAGATAGAGAGGACAATAGATACACATGTAAACAATCGTCAGAAATTAAAATAGATTAGTACTTACTTTCTATTGTGTTGTAAATAAGAGTTTGTGTATCATAGATGAATGAATGAAATTAAAGATAGAAAGGACAATAGATACACATGTAAATAGTAGAAAGAGAATACTTACATGTGCTTTCTTCATAAAAGTTTGTAAAACTTTTATGAAGGAATCATTAATCAATCATAAAATGATAGAAAATAATTGATGAAATCATGATGAAATTTCTATGCCAGAAATGCCCCACCACCTTATTATAGGTATACATACATACCTAATAGAACAGTATCATGCACAGTATCTATAATACTGGTAGTATGCCTCAGTCAGCCTCACCCCCCGGGGAAATAAGTAAGAGGATCGCTATATTTGTGATTTATAAATTGCAACCTCTTTCCTATGGGGCTCTGTAGGCTGTACCTTACAATTACTGTTTCACTTTGTCAAGAAAACAAATGAAAGACTTGTCCCAATAAATGCATACTAATCTATGTGATACGTGGACAATTTGATCTTACACTTACTTCATCCTATAAACAAATAAGATAATAACGATAATGAATGATGATGATGATGATGATCTACCAGAATTTGAATCTTCTCTTCAGCTTTTTGTTCAGCCCTCGGTTCAGCCATTCTGCCAGACTGCCACGCCTAGGTTTAGATCAAGATAAAGTTCTTATTTCAAAATGGCGAAAATGCTAAGGGGGAAATTGATCACCTATTACGAGTTAATCCTACAAGTATAACTGCTAATAAAGCTATTAATTATTACTTTTATTTAGGGCAAAGACCCCTCATCAAGGAGAAGTGACTTCTGGGATGAATTTTTTCTACTAAAAGTAATAAAAAATAGTTCTTAATTCCTTCTCATTCCAGCCCTTTGTCACAGGCTAATGTAGAATTCTTAGAAGGAGCTATCATGACAATGTCTTTATCTAACCTTATGCAAATCAAAGTATATGCACACTAACTATCAATAACTTACTGTTAATAACTAGGCTAACATTAATAACTTGTTCATCCAGTGCTGTCGAATGCTTCAAACTGATGACAATATGATTAGAAATATCAATGCTTTGCAGGTTAAATAATTATTATCTGAAATAAATGCAATTGCTTCTCTCTCTCTCTTTTCAGACATTATGTGTATTAGTTCAGTCAATTTATCGTAAGCATTCATCTTCTGATTCCAGCATTGAAGTGGTTGACATCCTGATTGGTGTTGATGCTGCAGACTGTCAAATGAGAGTATGTTCTATTTTTAGTAACAGAAAGCGCTCTCTAACATTCTATTTTTAGAATCTCATAGAGTGCTTATGCAAATTTTTATCAGAGGAATATCCTGGTACTACATTATGCACTAATGCATATACCATCCTCTCTCTTCTCTTCCAGTTAGTGTAAAGAACTTGTGCCTCAAATTCATACTCATCATCCTAACCTCGATTGATAACATCAGTCAGAATGTCATGCTGGAATATTTCATGCTCAACAGCATATTTGAAGCTCTCGTGTCGACATTCTTTCATCCTGATGCTCGGGAGCACCATGGCTATGATGCAGCTGTTGCCCTAGCCCTGTT